ATATTTTAAAAACCATTGATATGATTCTTTGTGATATATATATACTTCTTCATTGTGCAATATTTATCGAATGTTTTTTGTCTCTTTGTCCTTTTCTTAGCTGATATTTCTTGATTTGAAAAGCATGTCTTTATCTTTGATCTGGTTATAATTCTCTGAACTAGAAGAAATTTCTTTGGAAATGTCTGTTTCCTTTTCCTTACTTTGGGTCCCTATGCTATGACTTCACGTCGCACAACACATTTTCTGCCAACCATCCCAAGCCTGCTTGTCCTCAGGTGTACTCAAATCAAGACCACTGGAAAAGAAAGGGTTTCTTTATTGAGCACCTGACTATGTTCTAGCTTCTGGGACAAGAACTCATAGAATCCCCACCAAAATCTTGCAAGGGAAGGTGACCGTTACCATACATAGAAGGGAAAACTGAGACTCATAAAGGACAATTTGATGGGCAAGATTGAGTGTGGAACAAATATTCTTATGACTACATCATGTATCTCTTCAAATTTCAGCACCTATGTATCTTCATTCCATCCTGAAGGCTGCACAGTATATGGATTTAGGATTTAGAGTCTGATATTCCTGGGTATGATTTTCAGCCACACCTTTTATTAGCTATTGCATCCTAGGCAAATCATTTAACTTTTTTTCTGAGTTTTTTCTGTCTTATGTATAGAAGGGTGATATTTTAGTCCTTCTGCTAGGACTGAGGTGAGATTTTATGAGGTATAGTTCTTACCACAGTGTCGGGCACATCGTTCATATTACAGCTCTTCTGTTTCTCTCCCCTGTTCCTCTCCTCTTTCCCTAGCCTTCCTCTCCTCCTCTTCCCACTGTTCTCCATCTCCCCACATTTCCTTGCTCTCACTTCCTCTTTCCCTTCCCTATCCTCTCCTCTCCCAGCTTCCCAACACCCTCCTCAGCACCTCCTCTTCTTTCATTCCTCATCACTACCCTCTTTGTCACCTCTTTTATTTTGTGAAGCCACTAGTTTCCTGGACTAGGAAAGATAGCTAAGAGATGTGTTCCTGGGAGAAGTAAGTGTGGTTGACATTGAGTAGAATGGAGTAATGGTGGTTCAAGCAGAGACCATGATCAGCTGAAACAGATACCACATCCATTGAAAGTTATCAGTGACATAATTGATCAAGGCATGATGAGGAATAAGGATAGCTCATTCTTGTGTTAGGGTCAGGTGATAATTAATAAACAAACATCGCTCCTCCTCGAAGACAGGAGTGTGTCAGGGCCACAAGGGAGAATGGCAAATGGGAAATGCGAGGAGCAGTCTTCTTTCATCTTCTATCTTTATCACTTTCTCTAGGAGTAGTTTTTTCCAGCTATAATAAGAGTGACTAACGTGGACAGTCCACAATAAACAGAGTGAACTTTGATAATTCAGTTTTGAAACTCCCATGCAACCCATAATGTTTGTATGTCCCACTAAAAATTTCCTACTATATCTCCCTCCTAAAATATCGAATAGGTAGAAACTCCGTTAAACCAAGATTCCTGGTGAATCTTTTCCTAGCACCTTTGAGTGTCACAAATAATCTCCTGTATTTTGTGGAATCATGAATTCACTGAGAAATTTGTGTTAGGTCTGAGAGACAGAAATTGATGAACAGAGACAGAGAGATGGAGTTGCCTGGGAGGACAGAGAGGAAAGAAACAGAAGGCAGTTCTTTCCTTTTTTCTTTTTCTTTGAGGAAGATTAGCCCTGAGCTAACATCTGCTGCCAATCCTCCTCTTTTGGTGAGGAAGACTGGCCCTGAACTAACATCTGTGCCCATCTTCCTCTACTTTATATGTGGGAAGCTGCCACAGCATGGCTTGCGAAGCAATGTGGACATTAGCACCAAGTGAACCCTGGGCCAGCAAAACAGAACATGTGAACTACACTCCTGTGACACTGTGCTGGCCCCTCTTTTTTCTTTTTTCAGTGTGGGGTATGAGAAGAGAGACAGTGGGAGTCATAGCAGATTCCCCATACTTGGAGGAGGATGGAGGTCTGCAAATTACCAGAGAAGCAAAACATTGATTCCACTCCTTATACTTTGATGGTACTGGTTGGATCATAAGGGAAATAGCCTTGTTCTGATCACCTCCTATTCACTCCACTGGTTTGAGGGAGGCATATCCACCTTAAATGCAATGAGATGATCAAACACACAACAACTGCACAAATGAGATTGACATCAGTATAGAAGTCTCATATGTTCACAGCCTGGGGGAGGAGGACATCCGACACCCCCCAGGGCCACCTGGGTGTGTCACTCAAGAGCAGAGTGAATAAGCAGGGTCTGTAGGGTGCCAGCTTTGTGGTCATCAGAGGAGGAGGTGTACTCTCATTCTCTTAGTTCAATGGAAAAGTCCTATTGTGAAAATTCATCAAGTTGACCCAGGTGATAAGTTGATAAGTGGTTAATACCGGGGGAGATGTCTAGGAGTTTCTGATGAGTATCAAGAACATTCAATCTCTGGAAGAGAAAAACTCAGTGTTCATCTCTCCTGCTGACTGAATAGTGATCCAGGTTGTGAGACCCATTGTAAGCATCCAAGAAACCTCCCTTTACTCTTGTATTTAAAAGAGCTTCACTGAAGTAAAATTTGCATGCCATAAAATCCATGTATTTGAAGTGTACAAAACATTGTGGAGAGAAATTCAAGAAGAACTAAGTCAATGGAAAGACATGTCATATTCATGGATGAGGAGACTTAACATTGTTAAGATGGTGGTTCTCCCCAAATGGATCTTATTATTGTCTCTGCCCTTTCCTCTCTTCTACTTCTGGTGATTCCATTATATGAATGTTGCTAGACCTGATGGCATCCCATAAAGCACTGAGGCTCTATTCTTTACTCTTTTCTGTCTTTTCTTCTAATTGGAGAATCTCTATTGGTCTATCATCATGTTCACTGATTCCTTTGCTATCTGAAATCTGCTGGGGAGCCCCTCTAGTGAGTTTTAAAAGTTTGTAATTATACTTTTAAACTCCAGAATTTCCATTTGGTCCTTTTTAAAAAATAATATTCAATTCTCTATTGGTATTCTGTATTTGATGGGTCAACGTCATGCTACTTTCTTTTACTTCCATAATCTGGCTTCTTTTTGTTCTTTGGATATCCATAATATATACTTTGGAGTCTTTGTCTGGAAAGTTCACCATCTGCACTGGTCAGAGATAGCTCCTACTGATTGGTGGTTTTTCTGTGTAGAGGACGTTTTTTTCTGTTTCTTTGCATATCTCATAACTTTTGTGAAAAACTGGGCATTTAGATAGCAGATTGTCACCACTCTGGATTTTGATTCACTCCTTAACCTAGGGTTATTAATGTAGCTCTTTATTTGTTGGGTTAGTCCTTTGCCGGTACTAATTCTATGGAGTCAGCTTGCCCCACCATGACTGCTGATGTCCCTGCTCGGTTGTTCTTTTATAAGTTCTTGTTTTCCTCTTTAAACCTGGCTTCTGAGGAGACATCTCTGTTTCAGCATAGCTTAGTGGTGAGCCAGTGATGGGTCAGAGTGGTGTTGAAATATCTTGAGTCAGGTGAAACCATGTGCTGGTGGATCTTTGTATGAACTGGGACACACATTTAAAGATTAGGCAGTGGACAATTACACACCATGTTTTACTTTTGTGGACATGAAGACTTACATTCAGGCTGAAGAAGTAGACAGCTAGGGCATTCTTTGCTCTCATACAGCCTTGCACATTAGCACAGACTTCTAGATCCCCAAGGATATGTGGCTGCTTATCAAGTCCTATTTGGGCCATCTTGTTCCCTAGATTTCTCTTTTAAGATGAGGCTAGTCTGCTGCTCTGTTTTTATCCCCCAAAGCCCTCTGTCCTCGTAGGATATAGACGCCTCTTAGAGTTTCCCTCTGGAAGTTGTTGTTGTTTTGGCCAATGTCCATGGGTATGTGTTCATGTGATGGCTGAAGCAGCAAGAAAAATGAGTTGACAATTGGAATCATCTAGGAGTGGTAGATATGTTGAAGGTTAGGCCTGGGTAGTTATCTTCAAAAAGGTGACATTTTTCAAGGTGAGAGTGGAGATACTCTTCTTTTCACTACACAGTGTGTGGTTAAATTGGAAGGTTAGAAGGAGGCAGGGAGGACAGACAAAAGGACCCATGGATCCCCACCAAGGTTGAGCTGGTGTTCAAAGAGCACCTACTGTATACATAGTCCTTACGCCAGGTTAAAGTACTCAGTAAACAAAACTCACATTGCACTGTAAGGAAGGGATTATTATCTACATTTTGCAAGTGAGAAAATTGAGGCTCAGAACAAGGAAAACGTTTCATATGAGTAGAGGAGAGCTCCAGGTCTTTCAGCTCTCATCTGAAAAGGGATTGTGTTTCCAGTTTGTCTTGAGTTTTGAGCCACGATGGGGAAGCTATTTGGGGATGATCAATATGGTTGAGTTTGGCATGTGTTAGGGAAACTTTCACTATGAAAATGCCCACTAGACCAGGTGAGTTTAACAGTGGATCTGCCCCAACTCACCCTGTGCCCTTGAGGAGCTCTCTGAGCCTCAGTTTCCGCCTCCTTCAAATGGAACCTTGCATGGCTGCCTCATCAGGTTGCTTTGAGTCTCTTACAAGAAGCTGGTTGAGCCTTGTACCTGATGCTGAGACTGTGGTCAGGAAATGGGATGCATGCTGTTGAACACACATGAGAGAAAATGGTCTTTTCATCTCCCCCTCATTCCTTTGCTGGGTCATGGGTCACTGGAACTGAAAAATATGTTACAAACAGTTTTGCTGCATTTTAAACTATTGAGCCTCAGAGATATTATATGGCTGGCCAATGTCCTGTGCATGCTACCTGAGAGATAAACTTGAACTTTACGCTCTCAGGCTTAGGAATGCACAAGCAGTGTCCTGGTGAGGTTCATTTTTTATCAAATGGAGGGGATGTGGGGTAAGTTGTAAGTGGGTAGATAAAAAGGCAGTGGCTATTGATGTTGTCAGTCCCAGCAAGGCAAGCTGCCATGGCACTGCATTTGGGAGTCTTTCTGATTTGGGCTGGTGTTTGTATCTTTCTCCAACTGGACCATGTGGACGGAGGTGAGGGAGAGGTGAAGGGCTGGAATTGGTGTGGAAGAGCCTGCACCAGAAATGGATTTATGTGTAATTGAATAATAATAATAATAATAGTGGCATGAAATATATCTGCCAATTCTTGAGTATATCCCAAGGATCAGATGCTATTATGGCCTTTACGTTATATTTAATTTTCAAACAAGTGTTTGAAATGTAAACCTAGTCAGTCTTAGTGAAAAGCCAACAATGTTATTGGTTATCAACCCTCATGACAGCTGCCTCATTCCTAAATATCCCTTCCAATGTTCCTGACATGGGCAGCCTCTACACAGGGTTGGCTAATTTGTTCAAAGGAAGAGTTTTTGATGTAAATAGAATTCAATGTTTGGAATAAGAGGAAAAGTGTAGTCTCAGGTAACATCTTATGGTTTATGTGATGTAATTCACATGTGACAGTATAATAACAGTGAGAAAGTGTAAGAATCGTACTCATCGGTTACGTTTAGCCCTCTAGTACACACATCCAGAGTGTATCTGTTTAGAACAAACATGGATGTCAAAATGTGAAAAAAATACAGTGTTGTTAATTGCCATCACTACATTGTATAGTAGATTACTAGAACTTACACTTAAAATTGTGTTAAGTGGGGGGTCAGTCCCGTGGCCAAGTGGTTAAGTTCACATGCTCCACTTCAGTGGCTCAGGGTTTCACTGGTTTGGATCCTGGGCACACACATGACACAACTCATCAGGTCACACTGAGCTGGCGTCCCACAAAGCACAACCAGAAGAACCTACAACTAGAATATACAACTATGTACTGGGGGACTTTGAGGAAAAGAAGAAGAAGAAGGAAAAAAAAGGGAAATTGGCAACAGATGTTAGCTGAGGTGCCAATTTTTTTAAAGAAAAATGTAAGTGGGAGGATTTTGTGTAAAGTGTTCTCACCACAATAAAATAATTATAAAATTTTAGTGTGAAAACAAGAAAGTTATAAATGCAGAACAGGCCCTAGTATAAAATGTATTAAAAGTGCCTTAATTTTGTTCTCATCCCATCTTCATCTGTCTCCTCTACTGTGATTTTTTCCAGATCAGCAGCAGATTGTAAATGACCATTCATCTACAAGGAAACCAGGTAATCTATTTGGAAAATAATGAAAGAAAATAACAATCAAATAAATCCAACTAACGTGTGGGGAGGGAACTGTGATTGAGATTCTTATGAGATATTTTACATGCAAGAGGTAACTTTGCCTTCTCAGTAATTGGAGATGCAAGTGCACACATCTCCAGGTTGTATGTGAGGAACAAAGGGCTCCCCACAGAGGTGTTTACTCATGAAGGCTAAGCAGCCTATAGAGAGCAGGACTGGAATCTGACCCCAGGTCAGGGCTTCAGGGCTGGTGCCATATGCCAAGGTAAATAGGGTCTCATTCCAAGGGATGGCATCTGAATAAGGGAGTTTGTCCAAGGAGCATAAGGCAGAATTGGGTAGGGAGATAGTATTCAACAGAAATATGCACGTGAGTTGTGGAGAGTTGACGTTTGTGACCAGGAAATCCACTGATAAGGCTGACAGAATTCATCAAGTCTAAAGATGCCTTGGCCAGGTCCACATAACCACAAGCCCTCTGTCTTCCTGGAATTTTCATCTTTGATCCATTAAAATGGCTAAGTCAGTGCACACTGAAACTATCTTAGATATGCAATGATTGTGGCACAGATAAAAACCATGCTTCCATATGATGTGAGGCAGAAATTAATGATAAGAACAAGAAATTGCCTGTGTTCACAGAGATAGAATCTCTTTAGACTTTTGGTATTGAATGTGGGAAAGCAGAAACTACAGATCTCGACACAACAGAATAACAGGTGATTAAAATTATGATGCAAAATCAGGCTACTTTTATGTCTGGCAAGCTCGTCCATTGCCTGGAGCTCCAATATCCATGGGAAATGTTCCTGGATAAATGTCCCTGGAAGTTAAAGAGCCTTTCCTAGTCCCTGAGGGTTGAGATCACATCATGTTGTCGTTGACATCCCTGATGCTTAGTAAAGGGCTTTCTACATGGCAGACCCTTGGTGATGATGAGCCAACTGGAACAGAAGCTTTGCCAGAGTTACTCCAGAGCTAATGATGCCCTGAGGAGCTGATGGAGACAATGTCTTTGCTTTTGGCAGATAACAAATGTGTCTTCCCATTCAAGTATCAAGGCAGACAGTACTACGATTGCACTAGGACTGATTCCTTTCATCGTTGGTGTTCCTTAACTGAAAATTACTCTGGGAAATGGAGATATTGTGTTGCTGAGGGTGAGTATGAAGATTTTCCTCACGTGATGAGCATGTCGCTTCTCAGCTGAAGAGGGTACTTCCATACTTGGTCACTAGATGGACTTCTCAGACTTTGCCTTGTCTTTCCCAACATGTTGCATTCATGTCCCTGTCTCTTGATGACACAAAAACATTTTTCTGTAAAGCACATTCTCACCCATTTCTTGTACTTTCAGACTACGCCAAATGTTTCTTCCCCTTTGTCTACCGTGGCCGAACATACCACACTTGCACAACTGATGGGAGTTTTTTTCTCATTCCTTGGTGCTCAGTCACTCCCAACTATGACCGTGATGGAGGTTGGAAATATTGCATGTGATAAAAGGTAAATATCTTGGGGGAGGATGAGAAAAGGTGGGAATGATCATGAATGAGATAGAGGTGGATAAAGAGATGGAGCAAGGTGACACAAAGAGGAGTGAGAAGGAAAGAGGAGACAGGTAGAGGTATGGGAAGAGGTAGAAAGGATGCAGGAAGAAGTAGAAAGGAAGAGGAAGACTGAGGACCAGAAGTTAGGAGAGGAAAGAGAGAAGGAAGGGGAGAGTAGTTGCAACGAGAGTAACAGACAAAAGACGAAATGCAAAAGATGGAATGTTAGAAAAGGAAGGAGAAAGAGAGTTTTCAGGGTTAAAAATGGAATGACAGGTATCTGGGGAGGATTATCAGCAAGAGAAGGTGGGGGAGGGAAGATGAGAGAGAGGAAGAGACAGTACAATATAATCTTATGAGCAAGCATGTGAAAGCAAGAGTAGAGACGGGAAAGAGCAGATAGAAAGGAGAAAGAGGAAAAGAGAAACAGACCTTGGCACTCATGTGACTGACTGGAAAAATAAGTAGAACTCCTTAACATTGACAGCAACACCGTGTTAAATTGCTCTCCAGTGCATCTAACCCATGACCATAAATGTGATCAAGTCTTTGAAACATAACTGAAGAAAATCAAGAAATCTCAAGCATGAAGGTGATGTTCTGTGCAACACGGGTGCAATCCTTTCCCTGAAAGTCCACTTTGTTCCCACCGTGCATGGATTCAATCAATAAACCAGTTTCTCTGCAGGTGTGGTTGTGTTTCCCGTTCAGGAAAGGAACCATCTTTCCAATGGGAGGGTCTCCGTGTGCCCAGCTTGATCACACAGGATCTTCATGTCCTGGCCCTCTCCTCCTCCAGACCCTATGTGGTGATGGAACATCAACACACATCAGAGTTGTCTTTTCTGTGGGCTTGATTGAATATTGATGGTGTAGTGTGGAGGCCACTGGGGTGTGGGTGGGAGGAGGGTCCCAGAGGGTATGGAGAGCTGGTCCCTGTCTTAAATGACTTTCCTTTCCTGACTTAGGTGAAATGTTATTTCTTCCTGGAGATAGTTTCTGACTCCCAATATAAGGAGTGCTGATCATGTCCTTCCTGTCCATCCACTCTGTACTTGCAACTAAACTTTCCATTTTTCTGAGGTTTGAAATCTTTCGAGGACCAGATGGGATGCCTTGTTTGCCCTGGCATAAGGTGTTATGTGCAGAGCCTGGTACCTCCTTGGCCCTCAGACATATTTCAAAGATCTGCTATCCTTTTCTTTTTTAAAAAACAGATATTCTAGAAAAATAATATATCAGTACATAACAGGGCTTGAATGAGACAAAGTAAAATTCACATGTGCCCCAAAAAAGAAGGACCTTGGAGTCAATGCCTAATCTTTCTTCTGGTGTATGAGCATCCCAGAGAGAACTAGAATAGTGGGTATTGCATTGGGGATGGCCTTTTGTCACCAATCAGGGAGGTTACCACTCTTGGCCTCTATGATGTTCAAGTTGGTATTTCACTGGAATCTGAAACCAGGTCAGTTTAAGGACTATCCAGTAAAGGAGCGTAGAAAGGCTCCTCGTGTGGTCCCAGAGAGCCAGGTAGAAATTTCTATTCTTGTCCCTCTGAACCGATTTGAGAGACACATTTATTCAAGAAAATACACTAAATATCAGTCAGAACAAGAGTCTGTGAGATCCGAGCTACTTTATGATCCTCGCCAAGCACACCAACCCGCAACTCTGTGTGATGAAAATAACATTATGAACAACATCATGAGATCAGTGGAAAAGATACTCAGACAGCCCTGCTCCAATGACCATCTCTCCAGGGTGACTGGGTGTATGCCCATGGAGGCACCCTGCAGAGAAAATGGACATCATTGAAACAGTCCATCCACCAACAGGCATATGAAAAGATGCTCAACATCGTTAGCTATCAGGGAAATTCAAATCAAAACTACAATGAGGTATCACCTCACTCCAGTCAGAATGGTTATAATTAACAAGACAGTAAACAACAAATGCTGGAGAGGCTGTGGAGAGAAGGGAATGCTTGTTCACTGCTGGTGGCAGTGCAAATTGGTGCAGCCACTATGGAAAGCCGTATGGAGTATCCTCAGAAAATTAAGGATAGATCTACCATATGATCCAGCTATCCCACTGCTGGGTATTTATCCAAAGAACTTGAAAACACAAAGGCATAAAGATACTCGCACCCCTATGTTCATTGCGGCATTATACACAATAGCCAAGACATGGAAGCAACCTAGGTGCCCAACAAGGGACGAATGGATAAAGAAGATGTGGTATTTATACACGATGGACTACTACTCAGCCATAAGAAATGACAAAATCTGGCCATTTGTGACAACAAGGATGGACCTTGAGGGTATTATGCTGAGTGAAATGTCAGAGGGAGAAAGTCAAATACCATCTGATCTCACTCATAAGTAGAAGATAAAAACAATGACAAAAAAGAAAAAAACATATAGCATTAGAGATTGGACTGGTGGTTACCATTGGGGAAGGGGGGGGGAGGGCAAAAGGGGGATTAAGCTCACATGTGAGGGGATGCATTATAATTAGTGTTCGGGTGGGGAACATGATGTAATGTACACAGAATTCGAAATATGATGTACATCTGAAAAAAATAAAAATTAATAAAAAAAGAGTCCATCCAAGTCACCAAAATTGTAAAGAACAAGAAGAACAAGCCCTGGGTAGGTAGTAATCATTGTGCAGAGGTTGCACAATATAGTCTATAAAAAGCACAGGTTTCAAAAAGAAAATTGAGATATACAATGATATAAGAAAGTGTGACTCCTACGCAAAGTTGCAAGGTACAAATTGAATTGAAAAATCAATTGTATCTGATACACTGGCAATGAATAATCCAAACAAAATGAAGAAACCTATTTCATTTGCAATAATATCAAAAATAATAAAATACTTAGAATTAAATTTAACCAAAGAAGCACGTGATTTACACTCATAAAAATTAAAATAGTATTGAAGGAAATGAAGAAAGTCCTAAATTATTTAAAGATCCCATGTTCATGGATTGGAAGACTTAATATTGTTAAGATGGTAATACTCCTAAATTGGCTTCCAGATGCAATTCAATCCTTATGAAATCCTCAGTTGTCTTCTGTGCAAAAATGCTAATCTGATCCTAAAATTTGTATGGAAGTTCATGGATTCAGAATAGCATAAACAGTCTCGACCTGAAAGAGCAATAACTTTGGAGGACTCACACTTCCAAATTTCAAAGCTTAGTGCCAAGCCACGGTAATCAACACAAGGTGATTCTCACCTTTTGAAAGAACATGGAATAAAACTGAGAGAACAGAAAGAAATCTTCACATTGGTGGTCAAATGATTTTTGACAACTGTGGCAAGACCATTCAATGGGTAAAACAATAGACTTTTCAACAAATGATGCTGAGAAAGGTGGATAGCTAAATGCAAAATAATGAAGTTAAAGCCTTATATTAGAAATGCTCAAGGTACTTGGCTCATGATGTCAGCAGCATGGCTGAGTGAGTTGTTCACTTTTTCTCTCCCCTCTAAGTTACTACTAAATGGGCATTCATTAACCAACAGAGGATTCCCTACACAGCACAATAGGAAGCTTGGGAGATCCACACAGCTATGCATCTGCAGGTAGGTGGACTGGATCATCATGAAGCAGTGCAACTAGGTGAGAAGACCCCTCCCCATCCTTGGCAAAGAAATCGAGGTCACAGAGCCTCACACAGAGGCTGACCTGACTGTGAGAGGAGGCAGGGGCAACCTGGCCTTTCCACAAACACTTTTGGAGTGGTTGCTCAGCATGAGGGAGTGACCACTATGCCATAGCAGTGTAACCCATGGGAACACTTCCCACTCAGTGATGGTGGCCCAGCATCCACAGATGCTCCCAACCCAGCAACTGCAGTAACTCAGCCAAACAACATGTGAATGCAGTGCCAACATGTGCACAAAAAACATGCCACATCTACTTAGCACAGCAGCTCACCTGGTCCTCTGCCCAGTCCAATGGCCCTGCCTGCAAGACAGTGACCTACCAACTGTCTTTGGCCAGGCTGTGCTCACAAAGAGCAGCCCTCGTGGCGCAACTTCCAACAGACGGGGAAGGTTCAGAAAACACTGCTCCTCCTCCCTCCTCTGATGGTAGGTGGAACCTGCAGACTTATACTACCAAAAATGTGCCAGGAAAGGATCAACTCATCAAACACTGAAGTCCTACAGTAACACTTCAGAGCAGAAGGGAAATGACAAGTCTCCAGAAACCAATCATGAAGTCATGGAAATTTACATTCTGAATGAGACAGAAGTCAAAATAGTTGTCATAAAGAAACTCAACAGGTTACAGGAAAATTCAGAAATCCAGTTCAATGAGCTCAGGAATAAACTTAATGAGCTGAAGGATTACTTCTCTTAAGAGACTGAAACACTTTAAAAAACGATACAGAAACTATACAGAAATTCTGGATATGAAAAACACAATTGATGAGATAAAAAATCATCTGGAAACCATACATAATAGAGCTGACAATATGGAGGAGAGAATAAGTGACCTAAAAGATAGAAATCTAGAAATGCTTCCAGTGGAGGGCGAGAGAGAACAAAATTTTTTAAAAATGAAAAAATTTTTGAGAAATGTCCCATTCAATCAGGAAAAGCAACTTAAGGATTTTAGTTATTCCAGAGGGAGAAGGGAGGGAAAATGGAGCAGAGAGCTTGTTCAAAGAAGTAATAGCTGAGAATTCCCAAATCTGGGTAAGGAACTGGGCTTAGAAGCGCATGCAGTCAATAGAACTCCTAATTGCATCAATGGAAAAGATCTTCTCCAAGGCATATACTATTAAAACTGGCAAAAGTCAATGACAAAGAAAAAATATTAAGGGCAGCAAGGCAGAAGAAAACAGCCTAGAAAGGAACCTCTATCAAAACAGATTGAAATTATAAAAAAGAATCAATCAGAAATATTGGAGATCAGAGACACAATCTATGAGATAAAACAAAATATGGATTCCCTTATTTCTAATATAAGGCTTTTCTAATATAAGGCTTTAACTTCATTATTTTGCATTTAGCTATCCACCTTTCTCAGCATCATTTGTTGAATGCTCGAACAGACCTCAGAGAGCAGCAGATCAGCATAATTGAGTGTAGACATATTGAAATGCTCCAGATAGAGGAGGAGAGAGAACTAAGACTAAAAAGAAATGAAGAAAGTCTCTGAGAAATAGCTTGCTCAATTAGGAAATGCAGCATAAGAATTATAGGTGTTCGAGAGGAAGAAGAGAAGGAGAATGGAGTAGAAAGCTCTTTCAAATAAACAAGAGCAGAGAACAACCTAGGGAACGAAATGGGAATCCACGTGGAAGAGGCTATAAGATCTCCTAAATATGTTAATATAAAAAGACCTACTGCAAGGCATCTAGTAGTGAAACTGGCAAAAGTGAATGACAAAGAAAAAATACTAAGGGCAGCAAGGCAGAAGAAAGTAACCTACAAAGGAACGCCTGTCAGGCTTGCAGTGGATTTCTCTGCAGAAAGCTTACAGACTTCGAGATACTGGAAAGACATGTTCATGTCTTCAACCGACAAAAGATTTTGGCCTAGAATACTCTATCCAGCAAAAATATCCTTCAGAAATGATGGAAAAATAAAAACATTCCCAGATAAACAGAAGCTAAGGGAGTTTGTAGCCACAAG